TTTTGCTACTGACGCTCCTGCGCGTATGGGTTACGACTTCTAATGATGCCCACTCCTCAACGATTCTAGCAACAGCCGTGGGAAGTTGATCTACTGAGCAGTTCTGCGGCTCTACGTCCCCTTGAAGAGGTTATTCCTAGCGTGATGGATATACAGTACGCAAGCACAGGACAGAAAGGCCCTAAAATTACGACCAAATTAGGAAATTGTATATTTCGGCAATCTGCTTTTTCTCTCTCTCTCTGGTTCAGTGGGGTAATATTATGCAATGTAAATCAAAAATTATTTAATCATTTTCAAAAATAAACTATAAAAGCACGTCAGTCTGTCCTGGCAGCCTCGTGGTTCTGTCGTCACACGCCCCCCACCCACACCACGACGTGTGCCTGTGGCGGAGATTGACGAAGTGTCGGAGTCTCGTGAGGCAGTGGGTTGAGTTTCTCATGTCCGCGGGTCATCCGCATCTCAGTGGGACGCTCTGTCCAGAAGACAAGCTGGCCTCTGTTCTCCAGGTGGGACATGTGAGCACACACCTAGTCCTTGTACTAACTGTCTCTCAATAATATACAGGACTTGAAACTGTCCCCTGACCACTCGCATCTTCTGACCTGGCTACGCTCTCACTAGGCCGACATTCTTCTCTCACTACTACGGTTCCACAGATTACATGGTAGGCTCACATGTACGTGTTGATTGCTTGGTAGAATTGTTAGTAGAATTCAGTAGAATGTTGTAGAATTGTGTAGTGAATGAACAGTAGAATGAACAGTAGATGTGGCAGTGAATGGCCGTTTAGAAAAACCAAAACACTGTGGTAGTAGAATGAACAGTAGAATAGACAGTAGTACGATATGTTTGTATATGGAAGCAGTGTTCACTCTAGTTATTAGTTCAGGCAGGAATCACATTTGGGCAAAGCTCCAGTATGGTTCATGTCTGCCGCTGGTTTGATCAGGGTAAAGTGACAAGAATGGTTTTTTGCTCACACCACTCCTAATGAACAAATGCATACACACTCTTTTCTTCCTCACACTTGTGTATTTCCTCTTCCCCCTCATCTTTATAAAGTGCATGATTGCCGAGACATTAGTGCGAGCAACTTCTCCGGTTGTATTCTCGTGATATCGTACATACGTCGTTTGTGTCCACGTTTAGATGTCAATTAGTCACGCTTAGGAATGCAATTAGTCATGCTTAGGAATGTAAACTTCCGTCATCGTAGGAAGTCTATATAGCTTCCGCCGTGCGTGCAGATTCGTAGGAAGTCTGGCTTCGCGTGCGCAGTCAGTAGAGCGTCGCACGAGCGATCTCCACTGTTTACGCATGTGGCAGCCGAGCAAATATGTGGTGCCATTCTATATCCCCACTACTTTTCACCATTTTCCTTCTACTCCTGGTTGTCTTCTGTCCCTCCCTCTCTACCAGGTTCAGCATTTCACAGAGCTGAGGCCATTCTCTCTACCAGAGGTTGTTTCCACAAGACTCCAGACATGCTCGGAAGACAACCAGCAACTGAGTGACGACTGAGAACTCTCCAGTAACTAGCTTCTACTCAATCTTCATGAATCAGATACTAAGATGTTAAAAAATTTTCCCTTTGAAAGCTGTGGGCATCTTGCAATGCCTGTGAACTCTCAATCTTTCAGAAAAACCTTTGACCTAAAGCAGCATCCAAAGGTGCGCTGTATATGCCTAAAAATGCACTTTGCTTTAACATGTAAATAGCTGCATCAGTTGCAACAGTGCTATATACTGAAGTCCGATAAAAGCTAGATGCATGATGAGCTATTGCTATCCCCTGCAGCCACCAGACGAGCATCACAGCAGAAGGCATCATCAGCACCCGTGCAGGCTCTCAACATGGTCAAGTACTGGAAGGGACAGCACATCATCTGTGTCACTGGCAAAATCATAGAGGAGCACATGAGGAGCGCAGAGTACCGGAAGCCTCAGCTGACAGTGGACAGGGAGTACTTGAGGTGGAACCCTCACACCAAGAGACACAGAACAAACACTCACAAGAAACACTGACTCTCATATTCTCTCACCTTCTGTCATTATCATACATGTTGCCAGCAGTCGATCAACTAAAAGTGTGGTTCATGAAGGGGTTACAATACTGGCCCAGTCTCTGGTCTGGTGTCAGAACTCAAGCAGCAGAGAGCAACTCCCAGACACACCAGGATCAATTTTTTCACATGCAGGGGAACCACACACAAATTGCACATGTAGCTCATAGTTATTGAACATAGTATACTGGCTGTCTTACAACACAGATTACACATGACAGTGGATGAGAAACAGACGAAAATTAAAGTCTTACAGCTATATACTTATAATAATTATAATAGGTATAAAAGCTTCAGTTCAGCACTTCCAGTAAAGGTGAATATCATTTTGGTAGGAATTTCAAAGGTTCTGTGGATGTGGGCGTTGTGCCGTTTTCTAGTGTTATCGCCACATGATGGATTGAGTTTCATAAGAGTGCAAGTACGGCAAAGTAAAGACTGCACATCTGTCAGGACTACCTGGGGGAAAGCAAAGGAACCCTCGCTGCATACCACAGGAGCAGACAATAGTTGTAGCTATACCTTCACAAAAATAATGGTACAAATTTTTTCAGTGACTCTATAACAGCAGGAGGTACATATGAGCAATCTCCCTCTCCTTCCTCAAACTATCAGGGGAGCAGCAAAGTATATGTGGAGCAACTAAATTCCACCACTTTATAACTCACCTTCACTGATAATTATGTCTTAGCGGAAGAACCCCAGCAGTTTCCAGCAGTAGATATCGCCAGCTGGTAATAGAGGACGTGTCTGGCAGGGGTTTTGCAATGTTCAAGACAGTAGCTAACTATAAAACTGACCAAAGGAACCTAGAAAATTGGGGTTTTTAAAATGTACTAACCGTCTTGCAAACCTTCCTGAAAAGACGATGAGTGATTGTTGGATCCAAGTACTCAGCTGAATGCATCAGGTGACCTTACCTTCTGCCAAAGACAAATTTGCTGTCCCAAAAGTTATTCAACTGAAAGATACACACACTTGAATGAATGATTATCACTGATGAAATGTAGCACTTACCAGATCCAACTGTATGTTAGGAAAACTTCCTACTAACGGTGACGCTCTTGTCTTCCCTAAAATAGTTAGCTATGTATGTACATATCGCATAAAACTATACGCTAAGGTTGATGTTAGAATGTGGCTCACTCTAGTCTGGTAAAACTAAGCGATGTGTAACCATGTTCCGTTGATGTTGATGGAACACCCTCTGAGGGTCTTTAAAAGGACGGTTGGAGGGGTTCAGTACAGTTTTAAGTCGATTGGGGGTTCAGGGGGGCAGAGCAGCAAGTTCATTCTAGTCAATTGGTGTAAGAGTTTTTTGAAGGATTGATTCAATTTAAGCAGCGTTCTCATTCATGTTGATTTTAGCACAGCAGTAATCATGAGTAAGTTTCAGATTCAATGGACATAAGGTGTGATTGTTTTGGGATCAATTTTGCTGTTTGACGGGTATAGTTTCAGCAAGCAGATGATAGTCAGTATTAAAGATTGTTTTGTTCTGAGGCAAGTGGAAGTGACCGTTGCTCATCTTTTAATAGCAGGAGGGAGGCTAATCATTTCTGGGGAAAAACTTGTTAAAGACAGGTAATATTGTCTATCTCTTTTATGAGTAAGTCTTAAGTTTTGTGTGGGTTTTCAATTAGTCGATTGGAGGTTCGGGAGGCTAGTTCAGGAGTTCTGGGTTTTAGCAGTATTTCATTCTCATGTTCATTTTGAGATCAGAGTTCAAAGTGGCAGTAATAAGCATAATCATTGTTTAGGAATGGCTTTGACAACTATTTTCAGCAAGTTAGTACACGAGATTGAGTTTCTTTGTTTAGAGGCAAGTGAAAGTGATCCTTGCTCATTGTCATTTGTTCATCACAAGGAGGAAGACTTATCATTTGGGGAAATGAAACATGATAAAATAAATTGTCAACTCGGATAATTGATTTACCATCCTTTTCATGACAGGATTGATCAGTTTGCGTTGTTTCTCTCTACAGTTGAGTTCAATAAACAGTCAATTGGGGGGTCAGGGGAGAAGCAGCCAATTCTTTGTACAGTTGGTATATGAGTTGTGAATCTAAGCTCATTGTTGGGAACCGAATTCAATGGATAGCAATCGAAGTGCATAGTCACTTGTATAAAATTCTGCTTCAATGACTTGGTACTTGATGCTGTTTGACAACTGTTTTTGCAAGCAGATGATAGTCGGTATACAAGATGGAATTTCTTTGTTTTCGGGGCAAGTAAAATCATTTCATGTTAGGGAGGTATAGGGTAAATGATGACTCTTTGTCAACATGGGTAGCTAATCTCTATTTTTCATGACTGTTATTAAGGATTGATCAGTTTCGTGTGGTTTTTCTTTTAAGAGTTCATTACGATGTTTAAAGTCGATTGGGGGTTTAGGGAAGATCAGGTAGTTAATTGGTGTAGTAGTTCTGAGATGATGTTCATTTTGAGTGTCGGAATACAGTTGATGCTGTCCGTGAGGATTCGGGGGAAGAGGGTTCGAATATTGGTGGGGGGACTGCTGTGGAGGTGTACCAGGGTATTGGTGAGGAGACCCGTGATGCGGTGGAGGGGCCTAATAGCAGAGTTCAAAGTGGGCAATAACCTATTCTCAGCAAGTCACTATATATACACAAGATTGAGTTTTTCGTTTAGAGAAAGTGATTGTTGCTCATTGTCCTTTTGTTCATCAGAAGGAAGGAGGCTTATCATTTAGGGAAAAAGAAACACGATGACTCATTGTCAACTCGGATAATTGATTGTCCATCCTTTTCATGACAGGATTGATCAGTTTTGTGTGCTCTACAGTTAACAGTTCAATATCGTCAAATATGGCTTCAGGGGACAGAGCAGCTAGTTCTCTGTACCGTTGGTGTAGCAGTTGTGGATCAAACAACAGACTTCAATACATAGCACACAGTCACTTGTATAAAATTCTGCTTCAATGACTTGCTATTTTGACAACTATTCTCTGCAAGCAGATGATAGTCGGTATACAAGATGGAATTTCGGGGCAAGTAGAAGTGATCATAGTCGTTTGTTCATGTGAGGGAGACTCATAATTTCTTGGAACATGAAACCCGATGACTCATTGCCAGCACTGGCTCTCTATTGTCTTTATTTTTCATGATCAAGTCTTAAGGATTGATTCGTTTTTTTAAAAAGTCAATTGGGGGTTTAGGGGAAGAGCAGGCAGTCATTTGCAGTCAATTGGTGTAGGAGCTCTGAGATAAAGCAATTCTATTCAGTATTCATCAGGTTCATTTTGAGATCAGAGTTCAGTGTGCCACAGCATCATAATGACTATTTTCATTGTCGATGATTTTGGACCATTGAGTGTGCGAATAATTGATTATCATCAGTTTGGTTAACCAGTTTCCATAGCAAATAAAAGTAAGTATACACAAGATGGAGAGATTCTTTTGTTTCAAGGCAAGTGGAATTGATCATTGCTCATTATCCATGGCTTGAAGAGAAGATGACTAATTGTCATCACGGGCAAAATATATTTTTCATGATAGGTTTGATAAGTTCTGTGGGATTTCTCTTTTCAGTTAGAGTTCAGCACAGTTTGAAGCCAATTGGGGGATGCAGGGGCAGAGTAGATGGTTCTTTGTAGTCAGTTGTTGTAGGAGTTGTGGGATGAAGCACGTTGATATTGGGAAATGAGTTCAATGCTGCCATTTGCACAGCACATAGTCACTTTATGTGCATTTCGATGACTTGGTATTGATGAAATCTGTTTGGCAACTACATATTAATAGTTTCAAACAAGCAAATTGATAGTCAGTACACAAGATGATTTGAGGCAAGTGTTGCTCGTCTTTCACTTGTCCACAGCTGGGGGGGCTTATTATTTCTTGAAGAGAAAAAGATCAGGTTTGAAATGGGTGTTTGTACAGCAGCTACTTGTCATTAAGGTTGTAGAGCGATAATCATCAAATTTGAAAGCAGATGATAGTCAGTGTATGTCAAGGCAATTGCTTTTCATCCTTCAGTTTGTTCTCAAATCCATAGGAGAGCAATGGAGGCAATTCTAACTTGATGAAAGAGAGAGCCTTTTTGGTACAGTTCATGACTAAGTCTTTATGGACAGTTTTGTGATATTACAAGTCAGGGAGCACTCACAGAATATTATTGAGCAATGTTCGATAGGCGTTTTGAGGGTGTTTGAAGTCAAGTTCTTGCATCATCATTCTTTACCACAATCACATTGCATCAACAACGGATAAAACCTTTGGGATACTGTCCGTATTCAAGCTTTATGAAAATTAATCAGCAGCATAATTTTCGAAATCGGTTCTTTTTTACGCCTTCGACTGTTTTACAAGTAAGCAAAGAATCACAAATTCAGTGTTTGTTCAGGGGCAGCTGCATTTATAGGAGAGGGGATAGACTTTACACACACCCATGTTGGTCACTGAAAGGCAATGTCTTGTGAGGAATGTCAGCAAAACTTTAGATTAGAGAGGTATATCGATTCTTTTTCAGAACAATGGTTTCACTGTTCACCAGAACGATGTGATATAGGGGAGGTTTTGGTGAAAAATCTGTGTTGAATGATATTTACACCCATAGTGAGTTTTGCTAGAGATCATGTTAGTCATACAAGCTGATTGATCCATTGTTACACAGATATTTTACAATGAGACATTGCCAGCAATTATTACTGTTGCTGATGATTTTAAGTGTGTTTTACTGAAGCACATGCTCACCATCAGCTATTTTGCTTCAATGAAGAAGTGATTTCTGGCGATTTTACTTCTTTGCAGGGGAATAATATAATTTCGTTTTCACTTTGTTGGGTCACTAATAGAGCAGAACATTTTTCAGCACAGTGACAGTGATGCATTGTGACAAGTCAAGTTTGAAATGGGTGCTCTTAGTTAGTTCTTATTGCTTCCTGGAGCACTATTATTAGCCAGTATTCCACAATCACAGAGTAGATGGGGCGAGCAAGATTTT